CCTAGTCCTGACCCGCGATGCACTGCCTGACGGGACTTGTAGTTTGTTTACGGGCCTCCTCCACGCCCGCAGCCACGCAGCAAGGGGAGGAAGCGGACTCTACTTCCCAGAAGTCCTTCCGACCCCGGGAAGGCCGGCACGCGCGCCACCCCTCACCTACTCCCGGCGGAAGCCGGGAAAGGTAGTTCTATCACAGTCCCGAGCCTACGAACGGGAAGGGGCGAAGGATTCGCAAAGGAAGACGGAGAAAACAGAGAGGAAGGGAAGGGGTGGAGACAGAAAGGGAAGAAGGAAGAGACAAAAGAAAAAGTTGGTCATCCTCAGGAAAATCGACAAGTAGGGCGAGTGAAAACAAGAATCTTAAATCAAGTGTAAGCATCTGGGATTCAGGTCCTCTCAGGCTGGCCACCACACACACACACACCCCACCCACCAAATGAATCAGATACCGTACAGAGGTATAGAAATATCTTTTATTTGGGTAACATGTCCCAAAATAGGTCAGTTAGTAAAATAGATTCTACAGAGTACGCCCCTATGCACAGCCCTCCCTCACAATTCAAAGGAAAGCAAGTAAACAATGTAATAAGGATCATTACTTTTAATACCTTTGTCTGTGCAACAACACAATCCAGGATGGAAGGTTGCCTTTTCCCTGTGGGGAGCATATTAAACAGACTGCTTAACTCTCTGGGTACTTCTTCCCTCGCCTGTTAAATAACTTCTTAAATAAATATCTTCTAATACCCATAACATTACTTCAAGTAAATCTATGCACTTCTGAGTCCCATACATAGCTTGAACATGGAAAATATCTGATCTCTGCTGTATATGCTGGCCAGGTGGTGGCGGCGCACACCTTTAATCCCAGCCCTGGAGAGGCAGAGGCAGTCGGATCTCTGTGAGTTCAAAGCCAGCCTGGTCTACAGAGCTAGGTGCAGGACAGCCAGCGCTATACAGAGATACCCTGTCTCAAAAAAAACTAAAATAGGAGGGGACAGGTGGGTGTTTGGCACTTTAAAAATAGATGTGTGAGCTGGGTGTGGTAGCACAGCACCCCTATAACTCCAGCACTGGGGACAGCCAAGGATACACAGAGAAATCATGTCTCAAAAAAAGAAAAAAAAAGTGAGGACACTCAAGGCCAGATAAATTATAAAAACTGGCAGAGACCATTTGGCACTAGTCCCTTGGTAGAAAAGAGAGATATAGAAGAGTAGGAGGCAAGAAAGTAGGAGGAACCACTTCAATTGGCAGAGTGCTAAAATGAGCTAGAACCAGCAGGGTACTGACTTTGACTTATACCCTCTGTGTCTTATCTCCAAGCCACTGGATGCCGATCTCCAGTTCTTCTGTCAGCTTGTCTCTAGATGTAGTGCCCGGCCTGATTCTTAATGTCGCCTGATCGTATCTCTGGTGACTTGGCTACTTCTTGTTCTTTGGGCCTGCAGCTAGCCTCTTACCTCTCATTATTCACAGTCCAAATGTCCCATCCCTACCTTTCAGAGAACTCACTGGTCCTCACTACTTTCTTTCTACTTCCCACAAACTGGGAAGGTCAGGGAGAATAGAGAGGACAGGGGCACCTGACAGTCTACCTCCCCTGCCCTTTCTCTTTAAGCACCTTAGATTTCGATAAAGAGCAGGCCAGTGAGCAGGGCAAAGCCTGCTAGGAGCAGAATGACCTTGAGGATCCTCTGCTCAGAAGTGGCCAGCTCCTGGGGTAAGATTTCCAGGAAGGTGATATAGAGGAAGGTGCCAGCTGCCATGCCCTCCAACACAGACTGGGCCAGCTGGTGCAGAGGCCCAGCTGACTCTGACAGAGCAGTACCCAGCCCAATGCCCAGAGGTGTCATACATGAGAAGAGGATCCCACAGCCAGCTACCACCTGTACCCGTAGGTGGCTCTGTAGCAGCCTCAGGGACAGGCTGACTGCCAGGATACCCTTGTGGAACAGCAAAGCTAGGCACAGCTCCATTGCCCGAGCCCTGTCTCGCTGCAACCCCACAGCCAGGCCCTCAAACACTGAGTGCAAGGCTAGAGAGAAGACCAGTACACAGGCACGCAGGGCAGAGGGAGCTGCTGGAGTTCCGCTGGCCTGGGGGATCCCTGGTCCATCATGCCAGTGTTGAGGCCCGCCATTCACGGATCCCAGCAGAGCCCTGGTCTCTTCTGGATGTGGTGGACTGGACTGCTCCTTGTAAGCCAGTGTGATCTGCTCCATCACCAAGACCAGGAAGAAACCCATGGCCAGAATGAACTCTTGCAAAGGGAATTGAAGCTGTGAAAAGAGGTGGCAACAGGAGTTCAGGAGAGGAAAAGAATGGGAAGGAGTCAGACGCAAAGCCTGGTAGAGGCCCAGTTGTACACATTTGAAGTCCCACATAGGCCCAGGGTCCTGTCCCTACTGGTCACACATTGATGAAGTCTTTTGGTGCCAATGATACAGAACAACACATAATGGAACAGAAATGATAACACACAATATTAAGTGTCTCAACTTTGGCACTAATAACATTTTGGGATAAATCTGTCATCACTGTTATACACACTAAGTGAGGAGCTCCTCTGACTTCTACCCACCAGATGTCAATTGCAAGCACAGTATCACCACCACCACCACTAAGCTGTGACAACCAAGACTGTCTCCAGTTAGTGCTTCCGAAGGGGCAAAAATTTCCCCTGGTTGAGGGTCATGGACATAGATGCACACAGTGTTACATGTAAGCATGCAAACAAAGGATCACATTTGGGTCCACCTTCCCAAATATTCACATACATGTCACAGGGACATGCAGTCATATGGAGACACAGGTCACTCAGTCACAGATATACTGGGGTTAGCAGCCATTACTACTTCCTCAATCACAGGGAAAAAAGAGAAGAGCTTGGGATGGCTCTGCTGAAACTAACTGTCTCAGGTTTTCCTATACTGTGTTTTTTGGGGGATGCTTTTGTTTGGGAAGTGGTAGCAGGTTGAGACAGGTCTCACTCTGAAGCCCAAACTGACCTGAAAAATACTATACAGTCCAAGCTGACCTCAAAGTCCTCATGATCATCCTGCCTCAGCCTTGCAAGTGCTGAAACTTCTGCTTCCAGCTTTATAGTAAGTTTTTCTATTCCTTGGACCCAATCATTCCCCATATTCCACTTCCTTGAGAACACCAGACCCCTGGAAACTGCTTCCTGCCCTCCCAGATCTGCAGTGATCTAGCCCTCCAAGGGATAATAAACCAGCATGGTACACACCGTATCCATGAAACTGAAACAGGAGAATCAAAGGCTTCAGTAGTCTGGACTACATAGCTAGACCCCAATCAAAAGAAAAGGGCCCTCACTAATTAAACTCGGGGTCAAGGTCACATTACCACACACACACACACACACACACACACACACACACACAGGAAAATAAAAAAGGGGGCTAGTTGCTAGTTGGTAGCTGGGAAGATGGGGCAAGAATGGGGTGAATATAGTCAAGATACTTTATGTATGGAAATGTAATAATAAAGTCAATTACTATGTGTAATTTATGCAAATAAAGATAAAATCTAGCCAAGGAGGTGGTGGCACAACCCTTTAATCCCAGCATTAGGGAGGCAGAGGCAGGCGAATCTCTGTGTTCAAGGCCAGCCTGGTCTACAGAGTGAGTTCTAGGATGGCAAGGACTACGTAATAGAGAGACCCTGTCCTGAAAAAATAAAATAAGATATAAAGGGAAGAAAGAGAATTCTGGGTGAGGTGGCATTTGGGAGGCAGAGACAGGAAGATCACTGCAAATTTGAGGCAAGTCTACACATAACAAGTACCAGGCCTGCCAAGGCTACATAGTGAGAACCTGTCTCAAAGAAAGAAAAGGAGAAAATGAAAAGGGAGGGAGAAAGAGAAGGAAGAAGGATCAAAGGGATAATGGGTGAAACATGATTCTTAGAACATTGCTAACTTCCTGGTAACTGCAACTACAAAATCCAGAGTGGTTCACACACCTGATAAGGTTCCACACACTATCTGAAAGAGTACAATGGAGTCACACCAGGTCCAGTACCCAGGAAAAAATACACAGAAATGTATACCCTGTTGCTGAAATCCATAGGCTCAGAGACTAAGGCCTTCCAGTTATGGAGTGATCCCTGAAGCTATCTATATAACCATGTTTTCTATTAGCTAGTCCAGCACTCTGTGGGTCACATGCTGAGGTCAGTGCTCACCGTCACATGCAGGGCCGCCAACGCCTCATCTATGGCAGCTAGGTAGTCAGGCAGCAGGTCCAGAAGACAGGTCGCCAAAAACACACCTCCTGCGAAGCAGCTTACTAGGCTTAGGATTTTCTGGCCTGAGGCTGAGCAAGAGTGAATTATAAAAGGGGTTACAACCGACTCAAACCCCTGCAAAGTCCCACTCCAACATCAGCAGTGACCAACCCTGCCTTCCCCTCCTCCGTAGCTATCTCTCCCACCTCCAGAGAAGCAGAGACTCACCGGAGGCTTCATGGCTAGCGCCTGGCCTTCGAAGCACACAGACAGGCACCAGGCTGCAGACAAGTGTCAACAGCAGCAGCAGTACCAGAGCCCCCAGCTTCACCTCCAGCCCCACTGGCACTGAGGGCTCTGAAGCTATTGCTTCTGGGCGCCACACCAGGAGCTCTGGCTCCCCCCAGGGCCCCATGGTGGCTGTGGGATCAATGACTCTCAGACCTATAAAGAAAATACTAGCATGGGTGAGGACGATCACACAGGAAAAAAGGGGTCAAGGAAAACGGAAGGCTGGTCAGCAGAATGTACTTCCCTCAGCCCAGCTACTTTCTGGCCTTTCCCAGCTGGGGTGACTCATCCACTCCAACACCAGGAGCATTGCATTTCCTCCTTCGAGATTCTCTCTCCCAGTTCAGCGAGCCAGCAAGGAGGAAACTGAGGCACAAGAAGGCCAATAGAGATATGTCATTACCATTTCACTTGGAGTCCGCAAAAAACTAGGAACAGACTCCAGGTTAGACCTGGAGCTGGAGCTGGGGTCCCCTAACGAAGGTAGAGACCACTCTCTCACACAGAGTCCACTATGCCACTATGCGTATGTAGCAAAGAGAGCTTGGAGCTGTGGAGAGAAGTCCGGGGTGACTTCACTGAAGATCTGACACTGGACGAACTTGGGTGCTGGATGACTCTCTCACTGTCCACTCCCCAGAGCCATCTCCCGGAAATAACAGGTAGCCAGGGCAGATAGCCAAAGGAGAGGGGCTTGGAACTAGCTAAGACCAAACTGAGGGCGGTGTCTGGAAGTACCGAAGGCGAGGTCAGAGGTCGCCAGCGACGCAGGACGCAGATGAAAAATGTTAAAATGGAGACCCCAGCTCCTAGCCTGGGAGGCCTTAGAAGCTGACTTAGACCCCGCGCCCAGGGAGGCCACACTCGGGCTGCCAATGACTGCATTCGGTGGGAGGAGCCTATCCTGGAGTGACGTGAGTGTAGAGCAATTAGAATCTGGGAACAGGAGAGGGCTAGGCAGGCGGCGAGCTGAGACCGAGCCAAAGACGGGAGGGGACTAGCGGGAAGACCCGAGGGCGGTGGGCCTGGCGCGCATCTACGGAGGAGCTGGCTGCTGGAGCCGGCCAGTCACAAAGACTTTGATAAAAGTGGGAACTCTGCGAGCAAGGCCTGTTCCCTATCCTTACTCTCAAGTATCTCTCCCCACATCTCTTAAGATATCTGGCTGGAGTCTTACATCTCTGGCTCTATTAGTGCATTAGTGCGTAACTGGGCCAGAGGGGAATCATTACCTTTTTGGGACAAATTTCTTTGCCTGGCTTGCTTAACCAGCCACACACATACAAAAAAAAAGATGAGACAGAATTGGGAAAGAATGAGGGCATGATTTAAAAGCGATCCTTTCTAAAATTTAATTAAAATAAATAAATAAAACAATCCTTTCTAGACTACCTATGACCCATTTGACTATTAAGCAGCCTCCTGCCTCCCCAGAGTCTGCAGAGAAATGGGGGGACAGAGTTTAGGAGTTGCTGAAACCCCATCGAGTAGCATACGTCAGTTTCCTAATGATCATGCCTTTGGGCATCGTGCCAAGATTTTCTCCAACTTCATTTTGTGTTCTCCAGCTCCCCCACCCCTAGACCTAAAGGTCTGTTTTCTGTTCCTTGCATGCACAGTGTTTTCTCTCTTTTCTTTGTTTCTTCTACTTATTTATTGTCTTAGATATCACACTTAAAAGTTTCACAGTGGCCTGCAAATCACTATTTGGCCAAACTGTTCTCAGCTCAAACCCATTACTACATAAGCCACCATGCTGGCTCACCAACCTATCGCCTTCTGAGGAGATGGCTCAGCTGTTACAGGGGCTTGCCATCAACCTTAGGCAAACAAGAGCGTGGAAGGAGAGGTCCAACTCCCACAAATTATCCTCTGACTTCCACATATGTGTCCAGTGGTGCCACACAGACAGACAGACACACACACTAAGTGAAAATTTGCTGGGTGGTCTCTGGGTTCAAAGCTGGCTAGTGCTCACCAGTTAAAGCATGCGGTGCTCTTTGCAGCACCTTGCCCAACACCAGCACTCATGCCGTGCAGCTTACAACTACTGGTAACTTTGGTTCCACGGGGAGCAGAGGAATCTGACCTCCTCTTGGCTATGTACTTACCCACACAGGCAGGCACACATAATTTAAAATAAATATGTTAAATGTGCCAAGAGGTGATGGCACATGCCTTTAATCCCAGTACTGCAGAGGCAGGGGCAGGTGGATCTCTGTAAGTTTGATGCCATCCTGGTCTACAGAGCAAATTCCAGAACAGCCAAGGCTACACAGAGAAACCCTGTCTCAACCCCCACCCCCACAAAAGAAAGTTAAATAAATTTGTATTGGCCAGACAGTGGTGGCAAAAGCCTTTAATCCCAGCACTCGGGAGGCAGAAGCAGGCAGATAGCTGTGAGTTTGAGGCCAACCTGGTCTACAGGCGAGTTCCAGGTCAGCTAGGGCTGTTACACAGAGAAACCCTTTCTGGGGGGCGGCGGCGGGGGGGGGGGATGTATTTATGGTATACAACACGATACTTTGAAATATATGGTGTTTGTATATCTACATATTGCAAAATGGCTAGCTCAAGCTAATCAACTTATTACCTTACATATTAATTTATAATGAGAACACTTGAAATGCACTTTGAGCAATTGATTTCAAGTAGATCAAACGTAGATAGATCAAGGAAAAGTTGGACAGAATTTCTGAGAGTAGGAGGAACTCCAAGGGAAGAACACCCTCTCGGTGATTTTGAACCGAACAATACATCCATCATTACTGATTCTAGTCACCTTGTTAAACAGCAGATCTGTTGAACTTTAGCTTCATCTGACATGGGACCAAGAAAGTTATTTTTTTTTCCTCTGCAAAACTTGATCCATCAGGGAGAAGAGGGAAGCTAATGGAGATGAAGCAGAAGTTCCTTCCAGGGCTAGCACAAACAGCAGCTGACACTCTTTCCCATTCTATCGCCCAAACCCAAGTGTGTAGCAGCCTGCTGGAAAGCCCCTGGAAATTCGCCTAACCACCTTCCTTGGTCTCCAAAGAAGTTAACAAAAATAATTCTGCTTTCTTCTGAGTTCTGCATCAACCTAATCTGCTTTCATCAAGCTACTGCAATGAACAGGAGATACAGGCTTGGGAAATTCAAGAAAGCCCAACCAGGCAGTTTGGTTTGTATTTGGGGGTGGAGAGGATAAGAGTGTTTCTTGCTCTTAGAAAGGACCTGAGTTCAGATCTCAGTTCCCACATGGGGGAGGGGGACTCACAACCACCTGTAAACTCCAGCTCCAGGTGATCTGATGTTTACGTCTGGCCTGGAGGCATACATGCAGACAGAATACTGTACACATAAATAATAAAAAAAAAAAATCTTTAAAAAAAAAAGTTAACTTGTCTTCTCTGGGTTGCTATGAGACCAATATGAGACGTGGAAATGCTTATATATCATAGTTGCTCTGCCAGCTCCTTTCCACTTTGTACCAATGGCTTAGTCAAACATTCATAAGGAAAACTAGCACATTATGGATGCACCTCCCAGATTTTTCTGCACTGAGAGGAAGGTTCACAGGATTCATACTTTTTTTTTTCTTGGTTTTTCGAGACAGGGTTTCTCTGTGTAGCTTTGGAGCCTATCCTGGCACTCGCTCTGGAGACCAGACTGGCCTCAAACTCACAGAGATCCACCTGCCTCTGCCTCCCGAGTGCTGGGATTAAAGGCATATGCCACCAATGCCAGGCTAGGATTTGTACTTCTGTTAGCATAGTTTCACCTATGTTAACATAGTTTCATAGGATTCACTTACGTTAGCATAGTTTCACTTGAAGTGCAAAATAAACCCTGAGATTTTGAAATTACTATTTTTTTAGCCATGAGCATCTGACCCCTTACCAGTCAAACTGGCAAAATATTATCTGCTCTGTGAACGTGAGAGCTGTTGCCCATCACGGTGACAGAACAATACTGATGAAAACAAATTCTTCAGACCAGTGTGACAACTCACGATTCTTACATTCCAGCACTTGGGGGGCTGAAGCATGAGAATTTCCAAAGTGAGGCTACCTTTGGTAACAGAGTAAGACCTTGTCGCAAAGGAACGAAATAAACAAGCAGAAAAAGATAGATAGATGGCAGGATAGCTAAGTGGGTAAAACCCGCCTCCACAGCTGGGCAGTGACATGTGAGCCACCTCCCCTCTAACCCTGCCCTCACAGGAAGAGAAAGAAGGAAAAGAAAAACACAAATATCTCACAAGTTCAGTGAGACCCAGCCTCAACAAACAAACAAGCCAGGAAGACACAGTGAGACCCTTTCTCAAAATACAAACAAGATCTAGCAACTTGTTGGGAGATGAACCATGTAACAAAGTTAATAAATTGGAGCCAAAACCTCATACCTAAAGACTGGAGAGCAGGCACACATCCAAACGTTTCTGTAGCAAACTGTGTGTACTGTGCACACACTGGTGGTTCCTGCTAACTAACTTAAATGTCTAACAAATAGTTCTAAATTAAAGCCCACTCCTCACACCAGATCTCTCAATTAACCTTTTATATTGTTCTACCATGTCATAGTTCCTGTTCCTAAGAAGTCAGCTTTAAGTGTGATGTGAAGACGAGGAGAATTTATTGGACATAATCACTGTTTTTGTTTTTGAGACAGGATCCTAGGCAGCCCAGGCTGGCCTCAACCTCAGGGACACTCCTGCACCGGCCTCTTAAACACTGAGATTACAGGCGTGAACTCCCACACCAGGCTCTCAAACAGCTTTCAAGCTACAAAGTATCAGGAGGCCATCTTGAGCAATGTGACTTCCTCACTCCCATTTCAAAATGCAAAACTAAAACTATAACTGGTAGTTATATGGAAATAATAAGACCACAAACCAAAAGCAAACGTTTGGCTAATGCTTGGCAGTTTTCCTGCCCTGTGTCCCTGTGTGGGAGAGTGCTACAATGGTGTGGTGTAGTTCTCAGATCCACATAAAGCAACTGGCTGCCAGGATGTGGAGACCTGGTCCACAGGCTACCGAAAGTAGTAGCTTGGAACCTCGGAATCACAAAATAAACAAATTCAAACCCAGCGGCTCCCACTCTCAGCCTGAAAGTTTTCACTCAACTTTCCTACAATGACTTCTGGATAGACACGGAGCCTCTGCCAAATTACTTCTGCGACCCTTCTGTTGGACTATTGTTGCCAGCCACGAGGGCGTGGGCCTCGAGGTAGTCCACCATTGGCTGGAAACCCTGCCCTAAGTTTTCAACGTCCAATTAGGATTCACGTGTGGAAGAGTGCCACGCGGCTAGGGGGGTGGGTGTGGCGGGGGCGCCTCCAAATCTTGGCTTGGTTTTCTACCCTGAGATGGTTTCCCTCTTGTAAAGGCTGTGGCTTCGGAATGGAGCGCTCAGGTATCCTGTGTGCTGGTCACTGCCATCTCAGCTCTTTGCTGAGGAGACACTAAGCCCTCAGCAATATCTACTAATATTGGGGACACTGACAGAAAGAGCGGGGGTACCTGTAATTTTATTTCAGTTTGCATATGGGCAGCGCCTTAATCCTATTCCCAGATGCTGGCCCAGACAGTGGCTCCTGGCCAGGTGCAACCCAGCCCCATCCCCCCAAACTCTATGGACGGCATAGGCGGGGCTTGGCTGGGCAGGACCAGGATACAAGATCCTGGAGGAAAGAAAAGGTGTAGTGTTTGGGCTTTCAGCAGGCTAGGTTGGTTTGGAAAGACAAAGCTCTCCGAACAAAAAACAGGTAATACCCAATGGGGGCTATTTGTATGAACTCAAAAGATAAGGCCTGAAGTGAATTTTCTTGCGAGGGGCTGCTGCGTGTGAGCAGAGGGAAGGAGTGTCTATCGGGAATGCAGAGGAGCCAGAAGCTGTGAGGACTGGGGCAGCCGCCTCCTACCTTCTTTTTGTTGCTTTTTGTTGTTTTGTTTTGTTTGCTTGTTTTTAGAGTCAGGAGGGCAATCCAGTGAATACTGGATGCCCCGAGTTTATCTTCAACATTCTTAAGTACCCCAACCAAAAGGGGAACAAGGCAGAAGGCATCTTTATCATGTGTGAGGAAGAAACTGCCTCCTAACTTCTGTAACTACCCCACTACCTTCCCGCAGAAGCATGGAGCCCGGGTGCCCTGAGTTGCTGGAGCCACCAGAAGATATCTTCTCAACAGGATCCTTCCTGGAGCTGGGACTCAACTGTCCTCCCTCAAAGGTTCTGATGGCTAGGCTTCAAGAGCAGGCCTGCAAGACTGGGAGATGAGTGTGGCTGAGGCTGAGTGAGTTTGTTGAATGGAAGTGGGAATGAGGGTCAGACAACTCTGACTAGAAGCCTAGGAGGCTTCAGTTCCCTCAAGGAAAGAGGTCTGGTAACAGAGCCCACAAAACAGCCATGAACTGTAACGATTTCTAGGTCTAAGAAGGGAAAGCACCAAAATCGAAGCATAAAGGATGTATGACTAACATCAGGTAGGACTTTCAAAATTCTTCAGACACTCATACCTCTCCTTCTCTAGGGCCTTCAGAAGAGCGAACCTGACGATTTCCTGAACCTCTTCATTGATCCCAATATGGTATACTGCTCAGAAACATCTCCTGGTAGTGACAGTGGTGTCTCTGAAGAACCTAACTGCCCTGCCCCACAGGCACCCGGTTCCCCTGCCCTCTATGAGGTTGTCTATGAGGCAGGGGCCTTGCAGCACACTCAGCAGGAAGCAGGGCCAACCTTTGGACTCATCTCCATCCAGATAGGTCAGTGTACTTTTTGGAAAGAGGACAATGGCCTTTTTAGGCCCAGCCCTGACCATGTGGTTTAAGGGAGAAGGTTCTACTGTGCCACTGTCCCGTCCCTGCTGTCATCACCGTCTTCTGATTCCTTCATCCCAGACTATCTTCTTCTTCAGATCAGTGGAGTCCTGCATTTATGGTGCCTGGTACCTGTACAGTCAGCGGGCTGTCCTCAGATGCTCATAGACACATCCTGCCAAGAACCAGCACCACAGCCCCAGCACCTCCTGCTGCCCTGGTAAGTCTTGAGACCAGCTAGAACTAGTGTTCCCCCGGTGCACATGTCCTCACATAAATGGGAGTGCAGGGGAAAAGGGAGGGGGAACTAATGAGGAATTGTTTTGCCCAACTTTTGGTGGTGGTTTGAAGGCCCAGGAGAAACAAGCAATTCTAAGAGCAGGAAAGCATGGGGGAAGAGAGCTCTTGGGGACCAGAGTAGTAAGGACTTACTTAATTGCAAGGGGGATGAGGCAACCTGCAGCCAGAGCCCGAGAGAAACCAAGACCTAGTGTGCTTTTACATTCAGCCAGAGCTACTCTCTCAGCCTTGGAAAGGAAAGGGAATCGGGATAGGACACCTGGGAATCCTCCTGGCTAATGAGGCCAGGGTGATAGAGAAACAGTATCAAGTGTTTGCACTAGAACAATTGCCCTGTGGCCAACGCTGCAGCGATGTGTGGAGGCCCTATCATGTACCTTCCCCTAGGTGAGCTAGACACTCCTGCTCTGCAGAACAATAGAGGCCAAGCGGAGGCCATGTTCCTCTCTCTAACTTGGGATGTATGCCTTGCCTGGAGTCCAAAGGCAGAAAACAGGTCCTAGCTGTCCGCTAAAACTGTGCTTGAAGCTGGGACCAGAAGCCATGCTAGGGGTTTGCATATCAGCACAGGATTTGTGCTTGTTTTACTTTTAAAGTCCTCTGTGCTCCATTCTCAGAGATTTCGGTTAGAGAGATTGGGAGAAACACCACATTAAAAGACTTGGAGAAAAAAGGGAGACATCACAAAGAAATTAGAAAATGATTTAGCCAAGAGCCAGAGGCCATCAAAAAGCCTAAGTCAGAGGCTGAGAGATGGGTCTGTGAGGAGCACTTGTTATGTGTGCATGAGGACCTGAACTGGTCAGATCCCCAACACCCACATAAACAGCTACATATTCCCTTAAGGACTTGCTCTAAGGGGTTAAAACAACAAGAGGATCACTGGGGCTTGCTGATCACCAGTCTAGCTCCAGGATAAGTAAGAAACTCAGTCTCAAAGGAATAAGGTGGAGAGTGACAGAGCAGAACCCTGTATTACCTGTTTGGCCTCTGGTCACACGCATCATACCTGGACACACAAGTGCAACTACATCTGTCTCTCTTTCTCACACACAGTAAAAAGCCAGACTAAGTTATTCTCTTAAAAGTTATTTATTGCCGGGCATTGGTGGCACACGCCTTTAATCTCAGCACTCGGGAGGCAGAGGCAGGTGGATCTCTGTGAGTTCAAGACCAGCCTGGTCTACAAGAGCTAGTTCCAGGACAGCCTCCAAAGCCACAGAGAAACCCTGTCTCAATAACAAAACAACAACAAAAAAAGTTATTTATTGCCAGGTGGTAGTGGCTCACACCTTTAATCCCAGCACTCGGGAGGCAGAGGCAGGTGGATCTCTGTGAGTTCAAGCCCAGCCTGGTCTACAAGAGATAGGTCCAGGACAGCCTCCAAAGCCACATAGAACCCCTGTCTCGGAAAAAAAAAAAAACACATAAAAACCCTGTCTCGAAAAAAAAAAAAAAAAAAAAAAAAAACAAAAAACAAAAAACAAAGCCACATAGAAACCCTGTCTCGGAGAAAAAAAAAAAGTCATTTATTATTGTGTATATATGTGAGGGAGGACAGTGTCAGAGGACAACTTTGTGGCATTGGTTCTCTCCTTCCACCTTTACATGGGTTCCAGAGATTAAAGTCTTGTGTGGCCAGTGCTTTATCTGCTGAACCATCTTACCAGCTACAAACTAAGCTTTCCTTAAATTACAAAGTGTGGTGGCACACACTTAAATCTCTGCACATGAGAGGCAGAGGCAGGAAGAGCACCACAAATTCAAGGCCAGCCTGTTCTACATAGTGATACCCCATCTCAAAAATACAATCCAGGGCCATTAATCCCAGCACTCGGGAGGCAGAGGCAGGCAGATCTCTGTGACTTTGAGGCCAGCCTGGTCTACAAGAGCTTGTTCCAGGACAGCAAGGTCTACACAGAGAGACTCTGTCTCTAAAATCCAACCTCTCAAAAAAAATAAAATTCAAAGGGTAAATCTTTCAAAAAGAAATACCATCAGCAAGATGGCTTATTGGATAAAGGCATTAGCTGCCAAGCCTTTCCACTTCAGTTTGATCCCAAGAACTCACGTGGTGGAAGGAAGCTTACTCCTGAAAATTATCTTTTGACCTTCACACATGCACTGTGACACAAGCATGCCCACACAGACAGATCTCTGCAGAGAGAGTTCCAGGACAGCCTCCAAAGCTACAGAGAAACCCTGTCTCAAAACAAGGAAAATAGATAGATAGATAGATAGATAGATAGATAGATAGATAGATAGATAGATAGATAGATAAAGATCCTTGTCTGAGAGTGGGCAGCTTGACCTGACAGGAGCTTAGAACCTAGGGATGATGACTCACATGTCCCTGTGGTTGACAGGCAACCCAATATTTTACCAAATGAAAGTTAATGGCCAAATTAACTGACAAGGTAATTCAACAAAGCCCACCATAGTGATCATATAAGTTCTCTTCCAAGTGCCTTGAGAGCTAAAGGACAGACCACAGCAGGCCCTCTCTAACTTGGTCATAATGTCAAGGTTCTATGTGTGGACAAAAGCCTCACTCTCCCTGCTCAACTTCAGGAAGGCCCTTTGGCTTGCCACAGAGCCTGTCTGAATGAACTTTCTGCCCCTGACCTTACCTCACCACCTGTGCAAGCAGGAAGCCCTCTCCTGAGAGCACCCTGGGGTGGATGGGCAGCGTGGGGCTGGAAGCAGGTGACCCCGATCCTGCTCATCTCCTGCCACTCCTCCTAGCTGCCCTGCCAGCGCCTGTTCCTGACAGATGAAGAGAAGCATCTGCTGGGGCAAGAAGGGGTTACTCTGCCCTCTCACCTGCCCCTCACTAAGGTAACAACTGCCCCCAAAGGGTGCTCCATCACAGGAGCTCCATTCACCCTATAAAGTGCCTGGACTGCAGGGGACAGTTGGGGAGTTGTGGGAGGCTGAGGGCCCAGCACTGAACACCCTGGGCTTCCAGGCAGAGGAGCGAGTACTCAAGAAGGTCAGGAGGAAAATCCGCAACAAGCAGTCAGCTCAGGACAGCCGGCGGCGGAAGAAAGAATACATAGATGGGCTGGAGAGCAGGTATGTTTGGGCTCACCTTTCTGCACCCCCTTTTCCTCTGGGCCCCCTTCCTCACCTAAGCAAGCACCTGCTAAGCCTGCTCTGCTTCTCCATACTCCCTAGAGTGGCAGCCTGTTCTTCACAGAATCAGGAACTACAGAGAAAAGTCCAGGAGCTCGAGAGGCAGAACACGTGAGTGGAAGCCGTGTTCAGAGGGAGGAGAGGGAGTTTTCAGCCACAGGCAAGCTGTTCTTGAGCTGACTCCTCATTCTTCTCCTAGCTCCTTGGTTGCACAGGTCCTCCAGTTACAGAAGCTCACTGCTCAGACCTCCAGCAGAGCTGCCCAGACCAGTACCTGTGTTCTGGTACCATCTGTGCTTCCCCTCCCCCGACCTCTGCCATCCTCCACAGTTCCACTCAATACCCCCACTACCCTGCACTCTTTACCAAACCCTAGTAACTGTAAAGACCCTTGGCTGATGCTGCCTTTCTCCTCTGCTGTCCCCAAAGCCCAAATGCCTTCTTGCTCCTTTCAGATTCTTCTGTTTTCGCTGGCTCTCATCATCCTGCCCAGCTTCAGCCCCTTTCAGGGTCAACCAGAAGCTAGGCCTAAGGCTTATCAGCCTCATGGAGGTAAGAGGCAAGGGCATAGAAGCCATCCCTTCACCCCCATGAACCAGAAAACTAAAACAATCAAATAGTAGGAATGTTCTTGGCCAGTCTCCTACCCAAGCAAATGCTGTACCACTACACTTTCTCTTCAGTGATTTCCAGAAATATCCTGACTCATAAGGACATGACAGAAAGCCCAGAGATCCCAGCAGTAAAGTCCCAACTGGAGGCACTACCTGAAGTCCCAACTGCAAATGACTCAACAAAGACACAGTTAAAGCTGGTTATGAAGGCTAGACCCACTGGGCAGAGCAGGGGAATGTTGCATGCAGATGAGATGTAAGCACACTTTCCAATTACAGAAGAATCCACATTGTTTCATTTGCAATTCCTATTTAGGTGTCCACATCCTTGGAATTCTAACTCAGGATACTCTAGATTTCTGTCCATAAAGGCCGAATTTGCTTATACTGCAGGGCACCTCAAATACTTCTGTCCTGTATTTGTGATTTTCTTCTTTGGGGATAGGATCAAAGCAAGTTTTGACTCAGAAATAAACTTTCTAGCTAAAATTCTATCCCAGAAAATTTTGTTGCTTCAGACAAATTCTTACTATAGAGCCTAAGCTGGCCTCAAACTCCTGATTCCTCTACAAGTGATAGGACAAGTAAGTCGTACCACATTCAGCTTTGAAATTTTATTATTGTTTATGAGGTGTAAGTGTATTAGTGTGTGTATAAGACACATGTGGAGGTAAAGAGCAACTATTAGCTTCTTCCCTTCCACTATGCATTCTAGGGATCAAACTCAGGTGAGAATGCCTATGAAACAAACACTTCTTAAATTTGTTGTTGTTTTGAGACGGGGTTTTCTGTGTAGCCCTGTCTGTTTTGGAACTTGCTCTGTAGACTATGCTGGCCTCAAACTCAGAGATCCACCTGCCTCTTATGAGTGCTGGGACTAAAGGTGTGGGCCACCACTGCCAAATGTATGTTTATGTGTGTCTGAGTACATACCATATGTGTGTCGGGGCCCATAGAGGGCAATGGATCCTGGCAGTTGTGAGCTCTGCCAGACACAGGTACTGGAACCCAACACAAATCCTCTGGAAAAGCAGCTAGCTTTTTTAACTGCAGAGCCATCTCCAAAGCCACTCCAGCAAGCACTCAAGCTCTTTTATAATACCCGAGCCACTCTGCCAGCCCAGAAATTTTAAATACGAGTAAAAGATGTGCGTGGGGGGGGGAGACTGGAGAGATGGCTCGGTGGTTAAGAACATTTGTTGTTCATGCAGAAGACCTGAGTTTGATTCCTAGCACTTGCACGGCAATTCAGTCATCTTTAACTCAAATTCTAGAGGATCTGATATCCTCTTCTGACCTGAGGGCACCAGGCATGCGAGTGATGCCAGTACACAAAGGTAAACCACTCACACGTAAAAGATAAATAAATCTGAAAAGAAGAGAAACCCTGTCTTGAAAAACCAAGGGAAAAAAAAAAGAATAGAAAAAAGGAGAGATAATTGTTACTTGCGAAATCCTCATTCCCTTTTTTTTCAGGCCCCCATGACTTCTATCCCATATCAAATTATTATTTTTTTTAAAAAAAGGCTTATTCATTTGGGGGCCGAAGAAGTGGTTCAGGGGTTAAGAGCACTTGCTTGACCAGAATTAAAGTCCCTGCACCATATGACAGCAGAGTACCCGGCACCCTCCTCTGGCCTCCAAGGGCACCAGGCATGCACATGGTGCACAAACATACATGCAGGGTTATATTTACTTATACACAAGGGGGACACCTTTAAAAAGAAATATTTTTATTCATTTTTCTGTGTATATGAGTTTTACACATGAGTTTATGTGCACCAACTTACCTGCAGGTGCCCATAGAGGCCAGAGGGCATCAGAGCTCCTGATACTAGAATTACCACCTGATGTGGGTGCTGGGAATCAAACCCAGATCCTCTAGTAAGAGTAGCAAGTGCTCTTAAGTACTAAGTCAACTCACCACCCTCTTTTATTTTGTTTATTGTTTGTTTTTTTGAGGCAGGGTTTCTCTGTGGCTTTGGAGGCTGTCCTGGAACTAGCTCTTGTAGACCAGGCTGGTTTCAAACTCAAAGAGATCCACCTGCCACTGCCTCCCGAGTGCTGGGATTAAAGGCATGCACCACCAACACCCGACACACCAGCCTCTTTTAATTTAATTAATTTTCTTGAAATAGAGGCTCACTATGTATCCCTGGCTGACCTGGGGCTTTGTGGAAAAGATGGCTTTGAAGTCACGGAGATCAGTCTCTCTCTATCATCCATGTTTGGAATTCAAGGCATGTGCCACCACATGCAGTCCTTCCCCAAAGCCAAATTATTATAGGAAAGGAAATTGTTTTAGTCCTTTATTAGTTTTTTCTTTTTAAAGACAGTCTTATTATGTAGTTCAGCCTAGCCTACCTACAAATTTACCAAGTAGCCTCCAGCCCCCCTCTCTCAAGTGCTGGGATTACAAGTGTGTGCCACCATGCCCAGCTCTATTTCACATTTTATTGTGCTCATTAATGGTCTGGAAGAAGTCAGGGGAAGGTGCTAGTACCACAGACACAGAGTGCAAATTCTCCTACTGAACCTTCTTCATACGAGATCCAGTCTGCAAGACCCAGCATAATACAGTGGGATTCAGCTATATGGACTCAATTTGCTTCCGGACCTTTTCAAGAGCCTTTCTATCCAGTTGTCTTTGACGAATGATGACAAGGCAAGCGAAGACTAAAGCCACACCCACCATGGTGCCTTCAAACTTCCAGAATAAGTGTTGTTCCATCAGAGCTGAACGGCAGCTGAGGGCAGAAAAGGAGAGTCAGTCACAGGAAAAATTGGTCTCTCTTAATTAGTGTTGTCTATTTCAGTCTATCTAATACTATCCAAAAATAAGAGAAACTGGGGTTATTCATATATTTAGTCCCTGGTGAGATAAACAGAGTAGCATTAATCAGTTTGATTACCTTTTTTTTTTTTTTTTTTTTTAAAGATCTCAAGTAGTTCAACTTGGTCTGGAACTTTTGACTTCCTACCTCTACTTAAGTGCGGGGTTACAAGCATATACCACCATGCCCAACTTTTTTCCTTTTTAAATAAATAAATAAATAAAGCCGGGCGTTGGTGGTGCACACCTTTAATCTCAGCACTCGGGAGGCAGAGGCAGGTGGATCTCTGTGAGTTTGAGACCAGCCTGGCCTACAAGAGTTAGTTCCAGGACAGCCTCCAAAGCCACAGAGAAACCCTGTCCCGAAAAACCACAAAATAAATAAATAAACAAATAAATAAAAAGCTGGATATGGTGGTGCATGCCTTTAATCCCAGCACTGCAGATCGCCGAGTTCAAGGCCAACCAAGTCTATAGAGTGAGTTCCAGGACAGACAAACCGGCAACTTTATTTTCTTTCTAAGCAATGTTGGGGATTAGACTCCTGGCCTCCTACATACAAGGCAAGTACTCCACCAATGAGTTACATTCCCCACCTCTACCAATTTATCAGAAAACATGGCTAATAGCATAGCACTGAAGACTAGCGTTAGGAATTTGGGGTAATTTGGCTCAAATCCCCTCTCCTTCTAGTATGCCAAACTACATCAAGACCAGGAGATAGCTATACAGTAACAGACCAGAGGCGGGCACTTCAAAGTAGAGAAGCAGCCCTTACCTTTTGAATTCATTCCTTTTAGATGAGCTGCATGTGATTTTCTCCACATACCCTGTAGAACTACACTCAGGCGTTGTTTTCTACCAAAAGAAAGATCCAAACAAGTATGTTAGGAAGGAGTAGCAGAAGAAACAGAGACCTGCTGTTCAAAAAGGGCCAGCGCTGGTGGGCAGTGGACGGTTAATGGAGAGCCCAGGTGTAGATGGTGGTGATGATTAGGAAGGCAACAATCTAAGAGGTGAGGAAAAATTCCAGAGCCTGATATATTAAAATATGAACAGGGCATAATTATGAGCTGAACATTATCATTAATGTAGAAAGGACATCGTTTTAAAGGGAATTTAAGTTCAAATTTGAGGGCTGGCAAGATGGATCTGGGGGTAAAGATGTGTGTAGCAAAGATTAACAAATCACATCTATGTGGTGGAGAAAGAGGAACAATCTCCTCAACTTGTCCTCTGACTTCAAAATAAATGGGTTACATGGTGAGTTCCAGGCCAGACAGAGTTACATAATGAGACACTGTCTCAAAAACACATTTAAAAAAAAAAAAAAGGGGGGCTGGTGATATGGCTGGGTGGTTAAACACACTGGTTGCTCTTCCAGGGGACAGGGTTCCATTCCCAGCACCCACATAGTGGCTCATAAGACAGAAGACCTCTTCTGGATTTTTAGGACACCACACACACGGTACACATACACGCAGGCAAAACACTCATATACATAAAATAAACCAAAGAAAATAAATAAAATATCAAATGTAATAAAGTTCAGATTTGAACGCATCCTAAGACTCTGAGAAGCAGTACTGGCATGCTTAAATTAAAACAAAACAAAGCAAAAAAACTTGAAGACTGGAGAGATGGCTCAGTGGCTAAGAGCACTGGCTGCTCTTCCAGAGGACCGGGGTTCAATTCCCAGCACCCACTGGCAGCTCCAGGTCCAGGGGATTCAACACCTTCCTTCATGCAGGCATAGATGCAGGCAAACACCAATGCACATAAAACAAAACAAAAAACTCACAATCTGGAAGTTAGAACACGGAGTACACTCTTCAGTCACTACGAACTCTTCCATCAGCCAACATGGCGAAGTTGAGGAGCTCACTAAAAGGAGAGAGAGAAAAATGGCCAGTTGAAGACTATTCAAAAAACATTTCCCGGGCTGGAGAGATGGCTCAGCGGTTAAGAGCAAGGACTGTTCTTGCAGAGGTCCTGAGTTCAATTCCCAGCAACCACATGGTGGCTCACAACCACCTTGAATGAGATCTGGTGCCCTCTGCTGGCCTGCGGGCAGAAGACTGTATATATAATAAATAAAATCTTTAAAAAAAAATTCTCGCAAAGGCTCTACCCATCTAGCGTCCCAACACACGCGGCACGTCCTTTTTCTACCTATCTGTGAGCTTGGTATACTAAAAAAGACACTAACAACAAAAACAACCTGTAGAGGTACGGGGTTACCGGGCAATCACACACCTGACAACTTCTCCTCGAGCACCGGGGCCTCTGCTTCGCTGCAGTAGGGAAAGAGGGCAAAAACGACGGTGAGAACGCAGAAAACAGGGCACAGCCACTTCGGAGGCCAGTGGGTGCGATGTCCGGGTTCCTGGCTCCGCCCGCGCGCCCCTTTTCCCTGCCTCAGCACCCACTTACCAGAGCTTTAAGGTGAAAGCACACAGCAACCAGCAGAGGTGGCCGCCCCGGGGGAGGCCAAGCCTCCCCGCGCCCGCGAGCATGGAGCAGTCACTGTCGCACCTGTTGCAGCAGACCTCCCAGAGGTTCCAGCTCCGAGCAGCCAAATGCCCGAGTTCTCTCCCTGGGGCAACTAAGGCTCTATTGGAATGGCCTCGCGCCCACAGCGAGAGTAATCCATGCGGATTTGTTGGCTAGAAGCGCGAGGCCTTCGTGGGGGCGCAAGCAGCTGGAGGGAGGGCGCGCGGTGGGGACCTAATGCCCGCGCCCCTCGGCCTCGGTCTCGGGAGCGGCCATCTTGCTCGCGGAGGCTCCTGGTCCCGGCACTGGCGGCGACGACGACGACGACGACTCGTCCGTCCGGGGTGCTCGCGTCTGTCTCCTGCTGGGGCTTGTAGTCGTTCCGGACTCCGGCCACCGCATCTCACTGCGTTTGCGCAGCGCCGCGCGACGCATCAGCGGGCGCCGCGCGGCAGTGTGGTCCTTGTAGTGTTTGCAGAGCCGGCTGGAATGGCGGCGGCGGCGGCGATTTTTGTTTGTTCTGGGTTCGCTCCTCCCCGGTGTCGTCTGTTTGTCCAGTTACAACTAGGTGAGCAGGAAGACATAAAAAAGGGCAATACAGCCGGGCAGTGGTGGTGCAAGCAGTTAATCCCAGCACTCGGGAGGCAGAGGCAGGCGGATCTCTGTGAGTTCGAGGCCAGCCTTGTCTCCAGAGCGAGTGCCAGGATAGGCTCCAAAGCTACACAGAGAAACCCTGTCTCGAAAAAACAAAACAAAACAAAACAACAACAACAACAAAAAACAGGTAAAAAAAAAAAAAAAAAGGGCAATACGCCGCTCTGTGGGGTATTCACCAAAACTGTGGGCTCGCCAGGCGGTGATGCCTGATCCCTTTAATCCCAGCACTCGGGAAGCAGAGGCAGACGGTTCTCTGTGAGTTCGAGGTCAGCCTGGTCTACAAGAACTAGTTCCAGGACAGCCAGGGCTACACACAGAGAAACCTTGTCTGAAAAACCAAAAATCAAACAAAACACTGTGGGCTCACCATTAATTAGGCTCTTCTATATCCTCCCCATCCCTTGCTAACCACCCTGGACGGGCTTGAGAATTTGGGTCTGGGGAGTCTACTGAATCGAAGTTGAAACTTGCTCTTGTCTCAGGACTTGCACCCCACTCTACGCAGATGAACTGTGTCTGTGTGAAACTGCTTGACAGAGCAGTTCCTTTGAATAACCTTCAGATGTTCTCATCTCTCCCCTGCTCCTACAAATACGGACATGATCTCAAGACCAAGAGCATGAAGATTTTTTTATTTGTTTTTTTGTTTTGTTTTTCGAGACAGGGTTTCTCTGTGGCTTTGGAGCCTATCCTGGAACTAGCTCTTGTAGACCAGGCTGGTCTCTAACTCACAGAGATCCCCCTGCCCCTGCCTCCCGAGTGCTGGGATTAAAGGCATGCGCCACCATCGCCCGGCTGTTTGTTTTTTGAGACTGGGTTTTTCTGTGCACCCCTGGATGTCCTGGAACTCATGTTCTAGAACAGGCGGGTCTCAGACTCAGATATCTGCCTGCCTCTGCCTCCCAAGAGCTGGGATCAAAAGGCATGAGTCATCACACCCATCTAGTGCACCGAGGAGGTTTTTAATTGAAAACAATATTGGAATTAGATCCATGTGCTTTTTAGCTACAGGACTTTAGAATAACAACTGGCCTGACTCGGTGGCTCAAGTCTTTAGTCCCAGCACAGGCCGGTGGATCTCTGAGTTTGAAACCTGTCTCTACATAAGTGAGTTCCTGCCCAGCTGGAATAACACGATGAGAGACTGTGCCTCAAAAATAAGAGAAAGAAATTAAATATCTGCCCTGCTGGAAACATGGTTCAGTAGTTAAGAGCACTGCTGTTCTTCCAGAGGACGAAGGTTAATTCTCAGCACCTGCAAGGAACTCACAATTGCTTTTAACTCCAGTGTAGAAGATCTCACACACTCTTTTGGCCATCATAAGCACTGGGCATGCAAAGTATTCTCAGTAACATACACAGACACATAAAATAATTTTTGGGTTTTTTTTTTTTTTTCCGAGACAGGGTTTCTCCCAAGCCTATGTACATTCTTCAATACATTGTGACCCATTTAGAGGCCTTTTTTTGGGGCGGGGTTCGAGACAGTGTTTCTCTGTGGCTTTGGAGACTGTCCTGGCACTAACTCTGGAGACCAGGCTGGCCTCGAACTCACAGAGATCAGCCTGCCTCTGCCTCCAGAGTGATAGGATTAAAGGCGTGTGCCACCAATGCCCCGCCCATAAAATAATTTTTTAATAAAAACATCCCTCCATAGAATGTGATTAAGATGTTAGTCTTCTTGGGAAGTCATTGTCTTTGTGTTGTTTGATTTTAAAGTCAGGGTCTTGATATGTAGCTCTGGCAGCCCTTCAGCTTGCAGCATTCCTGCCTCTGCCTCCTGAATGCCATTTCCAGAGTACATGAGACCCCATCTCAAAAACTGATAAATAAATTAAAAAAGAAACAAAGAATTCCAGATTTTATGTAGACCAAAATGTGCCATTAAAAAAATTAGAGCCAGGCAGTGGTGGTGAATGCCTTGGTCCCAGCCCTTGAGAAGCAGAGGCAGATGGATTTCTGAGTTCAAGGACATGGTCTACATGAGTTTCAAGCAGCCAGAGCTGTTACACAGAGAAATTCTGTCTCAGAAAAAACAAAGAAACTTTATCCGGGCAGTAGGTTACAGAGCCACAGCCATGTTGCTTTAGAATCAACCTGATTTTCTGTATTACTCAGAAAAGTTTAACTATGCCTTTCCAACTATCTCTGTTCTGAGCAGGATTTCCCTCTCACACTTTAGGCTTCTTTAATTCTAATAAAATTGTCCTTGAGACTTAAGGGGAAAGCAGACAAGCTAATGTGTGCTGTCTCCCCTACCCCACCCAGCTGCAGAGAACTATAGAGCATTTGGCTATCTAATATTACAACACCTTATTGTTGATCCCCAGCCCCAAGGGGAAGGAGATTTGTGAGGTGTTTTTTTAATTCATATAATTTTAAATGTATTTTTAGAGCTGGGTGTGGTGGTGCATATCTTTAAGACAGAAGCAGGCAGAAAAACTTAGTGAGACCCTTGTCTCCTAAATAAACATACATTTTATATTGTGTGGGTTCATATAAGTGTGTGTGTGAGTCCTTTTGTGCCATGGTGTGCTTGTGGGGGTCTAAGGACAATTTTCTAGAAGGTCCTTTTTACTTTGTTTTGTTTTTGAGACAGGTGTAGTCCTGGCTATCTCGGAACTCACTCTGTAGACCAGGCTGGCCACAAACTCAGACATCCACGCACCTCAGCCTCCCCAGTGCTGGCATTAAAGGTGTGCACCGCCTCTGCCTGGCTAGGCAGAATCTTTTGCTACTCCTGCTGTGCTCTACACTCCAGGTTAGCTGGCCTATGGGCTTCCTGGCAATTCTGTCTCCACCTCTCATCTCATTTAGGAGTGCTGTGATTAGAGATGTGTCACCACATCTGGCATTTTTCAGAGGTTCTGGAGATTGAACCCATGGTATCAGGCTTCATAGTTAACACCCTGTCTTGAAAAGAAAGAAAGAAAGAAAGAAAGAAAGAAAGAAAGAAAGAAAGAAAGACTGCATCTCACTGTATGGTCAGCTTAAGATCCATAGCTGAAGTGGGGGATTCCCATGAATATGAGACAGACTAGGGTATGTACGGAAACTGAGTCTCAAGGGGCAGGGATGTGAAAGAGGGTAAAATATAGATAGGGACGTGTATCTAGCCTGATTTTTGTGCTTATATTTCTGGTGTCAATAGTTTTAGCTCCTCTATTTCTCAGGAGTTAAGTGTTGTTTATGTCACAGTACCTGGGAGACATAAAGACCACTGCAAGTTTAAGACCACACTGTGAGACCCAGTGCGGTGGTCTGAATGAGAATGGCCCCCACAGACCCATGCATTGGGATGCTTGGACCCCAGCTGTTGGAACTGTTCCCTAAGGATGAGGAGGTGTGTCCTTGTTGGAGGAGGTGTGACACTGGAGTTGGCTTTGAGGTTTCAAAAGCCCACAGCATTTCCAGTCAGCACTTTCTCTGCCTCGTGCTTGTAGATCATCACGTAAGTTCTCAGCTACAGCTACAGAACCATGCCCGCCTGCTTCCATGCTCCCCACCATGATGGTCATGAGCCATCTGGAACTACAAGCAAGACCTCCATACACTCCTCTTTAATTGCCTTGGTCATGGTATCCCTTCAAAGCAATGGAAAAGTAGCAAAGACACCAAGGTGCATGAAATAAAAAAGATGACAGGTTAGACTGCTCATCAGGTAAGTCTTGGCCATGTAAGCCTGATGACCTGAGAATCATTCTCCACATGTATGCATTACAGCCACACATGTAACAGAATACTAAAAATAAAACGTTATTTATTTTTTAGACAGGTGTCACTGAAGGAACCAGCTTCCTTTTGGCAGCCATAACAGCCGAAAATGTGCTTGCCATAAACC